ATGTGAACTATTCAGACTGGGTATATATATATACATTTAACAGGAAAATGACTGCTACATGTATGTTCATTGACATATTACTGACAGTAAATGTTACCACAGAGACAGAGAGAAAGACAGACAGCGAAAAAGACAGAGGCTGACGGACAGGAAGAGACAGAAAAAAGGGACACAGACAGATAGAGAGAAAGTGAGACACAGACTGAGACAAAGAAAGAGATACAGATAGATAAAATGGTTAACAATATACATGTTTGTTCTTTTGCAGTTTCTGGAGTGGCCATCTTCAATCGATCCAGAAAGTGGTTTCGAAAGGTGGCATTTTCGATGACTACATTCTGGAACTGTAAGCTTATGAATAATTTGGTATTTGTATCAATTTTTTTTATAAACAAATAAGGTTTTTTTTCATCTGAACAATCATATGCAATTTTATATGATGGAGTTACAGGATTGTGAAGCGATATTGATATCAGAAATAATATTGAATAATCTCCATTAGCTTTATGTTCGATAAATGTATTTGAAAATCATTTTGATTACTACCGTTTATATTGAGCATATAAGTTTGCATTTCCATTATAATTTCAGAACCGAAACATACGGAATGATATTCCGGATTTATATGTGGCATCAGACGTTTGTCATTGTTTCCGACCCTGAGCTTGTCAAGGTACATGTATGCAAAAATAGCTATGATTTGAAGCGATATCAGAAACATTTTGAATTTGAATAGAATAACGTTATGTCAGTAGTTGTTTACACTATTATCTTATATTTGCTATGTAAATATTACTTGAATATATTTTCTGATGGGTATACACCGTATACGGTCCTTCAAGCAATAATCTGACATATGGAATACGAGATTAATTAGTATAAGAGTCATATTAATGTATAAGTAGATCTAGTATTTAGTGAACATTGACCTGACAGATATAAGACAACCAATGTGCAGTTTACCGCGGCACTTATCGGTCAAATTCTGCGTGATTTTGCCATACTTATAACGAATAATATGTTGATTGTACATCAACATTCGTCAATTGTAACAACAACTAAACTGTCTATGATAATATGATTAACCATTTAAAACACCGGGGGCAGGAATGTTATCATTGTCCTGCTAGTGAATATTATTTTTCCACTTCTACAAATTGTTCCTATCGGGCAAAGTTTCTGTTTACTTTCACACGCAACAAAACACAAACATCCGAAGAAACCGTTTTGTTAATCCTTCAAACAATCGGTGCTAGAAAGCACTACTCCAGATGTTTGAAATACTATGTTCAACAGTCCTTTCAAATTACTGGGTGGCCAATGGCTAATAATTTGAAGATTGCATATATATCGCGTTAATAATATCAACAAGATAATTTGACAGTTTTTTCCATACACAAGTATTGCATGTACATAGCAATTGTTATGTTAGTTATTCTTCAAGATATTACTTGACGTCTGTAATGTAGAAATATTCTCAGAGATTACTTGACAACTGTTGGGTAGTTATTTTCGAAAAGATTACTTGAAGTTTGTTATGCAAGTTTATTTTTCAAAAGATTACTTGACGATCGCTATGGTATTTATTCTTTGAGATATTACCCGACGTTTGTTTGTTAAGTGAGTAATATTCCACGACATTACTTGACGCTTGTTAAATGGGTAATATTTCAAGTAATTACTCGACGTTTGTCATGTGAGTAATATTCCAAGAGATTAAATATCGATTGTTATGCGAGTAATATTCCGAGAAATAACTGTTAAACAATTGTTATAAATATAATACTCCATGAAATATTTGCAAATTATAACTATGTGTGTAGTGCTTACGTGAGTTAATGCCCAAGGGGTTACTTGACAGTTGTATAATTTCAGGATATTAATTGACGATTGTTTTGTCATTCTTCAAGTGAGGACGTGGCGATTGTTACTCGTGTAGAATAGCAAGTGTATTACTGAAAATTGTTACACAACAGGCGGAATTCACGACCTACATTTATGATTTCAGAATGTCCTTGTGACCGGAAATTATCCAAAATCTAAAGCGATATACTCCAGGTTAACACATTTGTTTGGGACAAGGTACGTAATACGGGACCGTTTTGCAAATATTCCTTACATATAGAGCATTACAAATAAATAACATTGTACGATTTGTTAAAACTCGATTTCATTCTTTTTTCAGTAGTTTTAATAAGTTATAATAATCGATGCTGGCATCATTCTTCTTTTTTTCTCTGACTTTGTTTCTCAATTTTGCATTGTTAAATTTTGATTTTGCAAATGGGTATTCATTAACGTTAAGGCCCTCAGCATCATTCAGAGCAGATTTGAAAGTACTATTCCTTACATATAACAGATAAGAAAAACAAACTTTTTAAATTCGCCTTCATTGCGGATGACAAAATATTTATCGGCTGCGAACATTTTCCAGTATACAGTATTAGCATGTTTCAATATTTCAAACTGATACAATTTCGCCATTTTTTGTCTCCAACATTGCTGATACAATTTCATTATCTAACATAGGATTATGTATGACTATTACACAATATTTGACATTTCTTGTGTTTCACTTCTAGTTATAAATATTAACGAATGCGATGTTTTTATTATGACGATTTTTGTGTAACAGATATGTCGGGAACGGACTTGAAAGTGAAGTTGATCAAACAGTTTGGATAGTCCAACGTATGCATTTCAATCACTGGTTTAAACCACAGTAAGTCATGTACAATGTACACCGTCCTTTTCATATTCCGATGTTTTTTCTATCCGTCATGTTTATAAATAGCAAATGCAAATCGTAATAAAGGCTTACAAGGTCTTCATGTGTTATTATGTTTGGCTTTACTTTTTGTGTTTATATTGTGCAGTCTAATCCTGTATATTGACAATTGCACATGTGAATTTCTAAGAAATATCACTCACTGTCATTGGTTAAGACGAAAATTCTGTTTTTAATCCATACAAAGCAACGTGGTATCAATTACTATATGATGAAAGTAAAATGATATATTTGATTTATGCTACAGAGTGTATGAGTTATTATTTACTTGATATATAAAGGTTTACATCAAAGACGAAGGAAAGTGTCGTAGATGAAGCAGAAAATGCTAACCTTTCCCGAACATCTGGTCTTAAACGTTTTCATACATCACCTTACAATTTTTCATTGTTAATATTTTGTTAATAAATTTATCGATTTTGAGTTTGAATTACGATAATTATATTCATTGTATATATATAGATGAGTAATCGAATTATTTTGTTTTGGAATACAAGGTGAATCTGTTTTGTCTATTTTATTTACAATATAAGCTTTATAAGTGTATATTTACAGAACATTATCAGTTAGAAACACATTTGTGAATTGCTGGTAACTAATACATGTAAGTTAACAGCAGTTCACAATTATGCTTTTGGTATAACAACAAATAAATATACTAAGCTGGTTACAAATGTACAATATTTTATAGTAATCTACGTCAATTCACTCCGGACTTCAATGAGTATGCCGACAGTCTTGTACACCAGCTGGGAAAGTATGCGGACGGGAAAACGCATACGCCCATGGAGGAATTGTTTCACAAAGTTACACTTCACCTGATGTGTAAGGTAACGCCTTACATTCAAGCTTAAAACGTATGTGATATTTGGTGTGGAATCGGTATAGGGGTCCTATGTGAATAACTCTTACGAGTGTGCTCCTTTTGAATTGTCGTGGTTGGTGTAAAAGTGTTTGGAAGTTAAGCGGTAACAAACGAAATCATCAATACATCAGGTAACAAGATGTTCTTCTTTGCAGG